ATATATATATATATAATAAAAAAAGTTACAGAAAGCAGAAGCAGATAGATAAAGGAAGAAAGATGGCTCGGAATCCAACAGAGAAACACAAAGTGGGTGGGTGGGAAGACTGTGTTCAAAATACCCATATCAGTGCATGCCTTTAATCCCAGCACTTGGGAGGCAGAGGCAGGTGGATCAGTGAGTTCCAGGACAGCTGGGGCTATAAGGAGACCCTGTCTCAAAAAGACAAAAGCAAAAAAAAAAACAAAACAAAGTACCCATATCAGCTACAAACCAAGGGGTGTGTGAGCAGAGGCCTCAGGAACATGAGATTTTTTTTTTAAGTTTATTTTAAATTTTTATTTACATGTATTTTTGTTTGTCTGTGTGAGTATATTCCACATGTGTGAGAGTATATTCTACATGTGTGAGAGTACCCACCAAGGCCAGAAGAGGGTGCTGGATCCTCTGGAGCTGGAGTTACAAGTGGTTGTGAGCTGCTCAATGTGGGTGCTGGGAACTGAACTTGGATCCTCTGAAAGAGCAGCACCAAACCATCTCTCTGGCCCCAGTGATGAGATTTTATATCACAGCTTTGTGACCAAAGTGGTGTTGCTACTAAATAGGAGAGTCATTCTCTGAGGAGAAAATAGGGAGGCTATGCTCAGGGGACATAAAGCATGCTGGCAGGGAATTCAGAACTCTCCATTAAAAATGAGATTTGGGGCTGGGCATGGGAGGCAGAAGCAGGCAGATCTCTGTGAGTTCAAGGGCTGCCTGGTCTACATAGTGAGTTCCAGGCCAGTTGGGGCTGCAAGGGGACCCTGTCTCAAAAAGACCCCCCCCCCAAAAAAAAAAAAAGATTTTTGGCCAGGTGTGGTGGCCCACTCCTTTAATCCCAACATTTGGGAGGCAGAGGCAGAGGTGGATCTCTGTGAGTTCGAGGCTAGCCTGGTCTCCAGAGTGAATCTAGGCCAGCTGGGGCTACAGGGAGACCTTGTCTCAAAAAAAAATAATTAAAAAAATAAAAATGAGGTTTTGGGGTTGGAGAGATGACTACATGGTTTAGAGAGCTTGAAGAAGACCTGAGTTCAGTTCCTAATACCCACAAGAGCTGGTTTACAACTGCCTATAACTCCAGGTTCAGGGAGTTTGATGCCCCCTTCTGGCCTCCTTGGGTACCCACACACATGTAGATATATACATACAGACACACATATAAATAAAAATAAATCTTAGCACTTGGGAGGCAGAGGCAGGCATATCTTTGTGAGTTCGAGGCCAGCCTTGTCTACATAGTGAGTTCCAGGACAGCTGGGGCTACAAGGAGACCCTGACTCAAAAAATAGAAAAAAATAAAAATAAAAATAAAAATAAAAAATGAGGTGTTGGCCCAGCATAGTGGCACACACTTTTAATCCCAGCACTTGGGAGGCAGAGGCAGGCGGATCATTGTGATTTTGAGGCCAGCCTGGTCTACATAGTAAGTTCCAGGACAGCTGGGGCTACAAGGCGACCCTGTCTCAAAAAGACAAAAAAAAAGAGGTTTTTCAGGTGTCTCCCAAACTGCCTGTTTCCTCCAAAGGGCGGGGCCTGCTGTGGAGGGGTTTCTGTGCCATCTTGTGACAGAAGCTGCTAGCCACCAGGAACAAACACACTGCAGCAGGTGTGGGGAATGAGCGGAGGTGGGCGTGGAGAATAGATGGCCCCAGCATCTCACCCACATCATGAGAGGGGGCATTTACCGACCTGGAGCAGAACTGTGGGTCCAAGATGCGTGGGCGAAAGTTAATGGAGACTGTGGGTGGGTGCAGAAGTGATCTGGAACCATGGTGGCCTGCCCCGCAGAGCTGGGTGCTGGGCGTTAGTCTCTGTAAGTTTCTCCACCCCCCCCAAGATATAAACTATAATAAATTCACATAAAAATATATTATATGGTTTGTCTGACAGCTCAAGAAACCCTAAGAGAACTCTGGTGACAAAATTGGCATAGTTGGCAGGGTAAATGAACCACAGCCTTGGGGATGTGGGTTTGGGAAAGCAGTGCTGTGCCCGCTGCCCCTGTGGCAGGTCAGCTGGGCTCTGATTCTCAAATCCAGGAGAGGCTACCAGGAACCCAGGGGAGATGGTAATTAAACCCTATAGGCTTAATGGGGTTAGCGATAGTCACGTGGGTTATACAATGGATTATAAAATCTGTAATTAAAAAGAGGCTAGCCACACAAACGTGTGGGCCACAGCTATGTTGTAAATGTGGGGGTATGTGTGGGTATGTGAAAATTTGTTAAAGGTTATCCAGAGGCTAGAAAATCTTTTACTGGCTCTGGACCCAAATGGAGCACCCAGAGAGGGAGCATGGCCACTTTGCATAATAAAAGATTTGCCCCCCGCAGGGGAAGCTGAAAAGGCTAGTGAAGTCCTGGCAGATCCAGTTGCAGAGCTGGAGAGAGAAAAAAAGTGGAACACTTTGACTTGTGTAAGGTCCAAGGACTCAGAGGAAAAGACAGATAATAGTAAAAAAGAAAATGACCTAAAAATAAAAGTAGCTAAGGCTGCCCCTCAGATTCAACCATTGATACAAAAGGAAAAAAAAAAAAAAAAGCTAACAGTGCTGTAGCTAGGAAGTATTCCATACTAAAACTGTTAAAACTAGGAAAAACTTACAATCAAGCAATCAGAGAGCCCCTAGCCACGTGGCTTGTGAGAGCATGGGACATGGGAGCAAATGACGTCAGTCTAAGTCCTTCAGAAGCTTCACAGCTGAGTTATAAAACCACCCATCCATCCTTATGATATAGGCTGTTCAACCTAGGCCAATGCAGGGGGGAGCAGTCCTTAATAGGATGGCTGGTTGAAGGCATTAAAGATACATGGTCATCACCAAGGGAGACTAACATGATTAGCAGGGGCTGGAGGACTATAAATAAGGGGCAGGCATTACTGAGAGAACTAGGTATGAGAAAAGCAATATATAGTGTCCAGTTCACTGGGCCAGATAAGACTGTGTTCACCAGAGATATGAAGGAAAGCTTAATTCAACTGGGACCTCAAGAATGGTATGGTGCTTTAATGGTTTTACTAAGCCCTTTGATGGGACAGGATCTTTGTAAAGTGAGAGAAGCTTTGGCAAATCTAAATGGTTTTGACCAGCATGTAAAACGTGTCTGTAAAATAACAGAACACCCTATAAGAGATATAAAAATGACCAGACAGAAGAAATGGTCTACTTGGGTTACTCAAAGACAAATGTGGCAAAACTTATGTCAAGCCCAAATTCCCAGAGAAAAAACTGATAGAAAACCAAATTTGGTACTAAGGTGTTTCTGGAAGATATTAAAACCAGAAGAACAGTTTACAAAAGACATTCAAAGGATAAAAACTACAAGGGGTGGCTAAGAATCCCCAAGGATTAAATAAGATGCATTTCTCTTCTGATAAAGGCTATATTAGGTGTGGAAGCAGTTTTTCCCACCAAGTTGTCCCCCAGCAACCAGGTGTGGTCAATGGAGAGATGACAGATACAGCTACAGTTAGGAGGCAGACTCAGGGCCTGCCTGACTCAGGGACCCAACAAGCACAACAGGGACAGGAGAAGCCCCCTGCCTCCTTAGCCCAGTGCAGGGGACTGAAGCCAACACCTGTAAGTGTATCAAGAA